ATATATATATATATATATATATATATATATATAGGTGTAATAATAAATTTAAAATAGCTACTCCTATAGTCGGTTTAGTTCGGTTTTTTTCTGATTAAAACCAAAACCAAACCAAATATGATCGGTTTTTAAAATTCAAAACCAAACCAAACCAAACCAAAAAGTATCGGTTTTTTTGGTCGGTTTGGTTTGATTTTCGGTTTTTCGGGTTTTTATGAACACCCCTAAACACACCCAAAAAGCCCTTAGTAGTTGTAGTCACTAACTCTTTGAGTTTGGTAAAATGTTCATGTGGTGTCCAGTTTTGCGCCACCAATTAAATTTGTACCTGTTTTTTTAAAATGGTTTAATTGATATTCAATATTTAGATAACTTCAAATACATACACTTTTCTCTTCTTCTTTATTACTACTGTTTTTTTTTTCCTTTTTATGCTTAGAGTTTCTTTTTCTTCTTCTTCTTAGTTATAAAATGGGTTTGTTAAATTTGTTGTTGTTTAGGCAATTTGGTGATTGAGATTTATTTTTTGTAATATTTGAAAGTTATGTTTCAAAATATATTTGGATGTTAAACTAGAGTAACATAGCCGATCCCAACTTATTTGGGGCTAAGGCGTCGTTGTATCAAACTATAAGTAGGAACTAGGAAGGAGACTATTTCCTGAAGGTGTCACACACACACACCCCCCCCCCCCCCCCTACCCCCTAAAAAAAAAAAAAAAAAAACCAACCCCAAACATAAAGCTTATAAATGTCAATGGATTAAATTAAAAGTTCAAGGAAGAACGTCAAATACTTTTACCTTTGCTGTAAAATTATGTACTTCGGTCGAGGATTATGAAATATAGTTTGAAAGATCACTCTGAACTTGAATGAGTTTATTTCCTGTGCTCAGGCCGTAGATGTTTACAAAATTAATAAAATAAAAAAGAGTATATGATAAGGGTAAATTGGTCAAGATTTATTTTTTTAAAATTAATACAAATAGGTTAAAAGAGTTGCTATAAAAAATTCAAAACTGGAGGTAAGTGTAATATTGTAAAACATAAGGGAGGTAAATGTGATGAGGTCAAATTTAAGGGTGTCTCCGAAAGTATTCCAAAAATTTAAGAAGCAAAATTTTAATTGAAAACAAAGGTTTGTGTAAATTTGAAACCACAAAAAAAGAGGTTTCTGTTGATTGTCCTTAATGTTTATTATAAAAGTTTACCCATAATTACTTTATAGACCTGATTGTGTAACTATTAGGGGTCGTTTGGTACGATGGATAAGCAAAAATAATCTTGAGACAAAAATTTAGTGTCGTCTTATTCCTTGTTTGGTTACTAATCCTGAGATAAGTTATCCAGGATTAAAATAGTACTGGGATAACTTATACCTGCCCGAGGGTGGAATAGTAATCCCAGGATAAAGCAGTAAAATTAGCAATTGCAGGATTAATACAACATACCAAACAGTCAATAACTAAGCCCACCATAACCAAATTCTAGCATAAC